CCACCCCCCAAACTGGCCCCCCGCCCTCTCCCTCCTGTCAAAACACGGCGCCCGCCTCCCCGCCGCCACGACCCTCGATCTCATCCCCCCTTCTCTCCCCGTTAAGGACCTAGAATCTTATTTCTTCGGGAGAATCCGGAATGCGAATTCGCTGTTGAATGAAGAGAGGATCACAGCGAGGTTGAGGGGCGTGGAGAAGGTGGGTGTGGAGGCGGCGGTGCTGTTGGGGGGCGAGGAGAAGAGGGATGCGTATGGCAGGTTGGTGCCGGGCGGGTTGAACAGGAGGGTGGTGATTGATGAGGAGAGGCATTGTGCGGTTTGTCATAAGAGGTTTGGGGGGAGTGCGATTAGGGTGTTTCCGGATAATGGGGTTGTGCATAGTGGGTGTGCTAGGGGGGGTGTTGGTGTTGGTGGTGGTGGTGGGTTTGGAGGGAGTACGGGGAGGAGGACGGGGGGTGCGGGGTGGCGGTAGGTTTGGTCTTGTCGTGTGGTATAGTATAGCCCAGAAGAGGTTGTCGTTAAAATGTATATCCGTCAAGAATGCGCTTCTTCATGCAAGAGACTCTCAGTCTTCATCAACGACTTCCTCGCCATATGTCTCCTCGTCTTTTGCGTCGTCGGCGGCTTTGTCGTCGGCCATTTTTTGCGTTAGGAATGCGTTTACGTCTGCCTGGAGGGTCTTGAGGGACGAGGAGAGGGCATCGAGATATGCGACGCGATCGGTGGTTGTGGGTGGTGAGGCGAGTGCGGGGAGTTCGGAGGTGAAGGTTTGGGGGTCCGAGGTCGGGGATGTGTAGGTCGCTGTTAGAGAGGGCATGTTGGGTGGTGAGTTCCAGCGGGTGGTATCTTCTGAGTAGGGGTGGATATGTTATTGGTGTATTGAGTGTTGGAGTGAAGGAGTTAGTTGATTGAAGATAGGCGGGGTCAAGCGGCTCGGGGTGGAGACAGCACGGCCACGCGACGTCGATCCATCAACGGTGCATGTAACAGTGGCAGTAGGATGCACGTCAGCTCCTCCCACGACTCCACCTGCGCTTGGATAACGCTGTATCTGCTACTCTCTCCATGCAGGCCATGCGGGAATACGACTAGACACGAGTTTCTGCTTCCCTCCTCCCCACATTCACTTTCCATCCGTCCCGTGTGTTTGGCCAGGCCTACAGCCACCGCCTCTACACCCTGTCCCTGCAAACAGCCACACTGTCGCAAAAGCAACCCACGCGGTAATACGAGAGGGCCTGCAGTGCGACGGCCCACGATGGCGCCCTCTTCACCCCCTCCCCAGACGCCATCCATCCACACGCCCTCGATTCACCGCCCCTCGCTCGACGACTCCGACTCGGACGGCTCCCACGCCACGCTGCAGCAGCAACAACAACAACAACAGCGCCGCTCTCCCCTGCCCACCTCGATACTCTCGCCCTCGTCCGCAAAGTCGCCGACGTCAGCAGACTCGCGCGGCGCCCCAGCGCAAAACTACTCGCGTCCCGGCATTGTGCGCGATGCAACACAGAGCCAGAGTCACATTGGCGCGCATCTAGGACACCGCCCCCGCCAGCGCTCCCAGGGCTACTTCGAGCCCAGTCTGAGTTCCATGAAGGAGGGCTCTATACGGGACCGCGACAATACCATGGCCTCGCAGACCCATCTTACCGCCTCGCAGATCGCCGCCCAGGCCGCATATGCCTCGAACCCCCAGCACAATCGCAAGCGCTCCACCACGATACCCGCTCCGAACGAAGCTGCGCCTGCAGGACGGGGCCAGCCCATGAGTCCGCCGCCTGTGCCGGCGCAGGTCACGTTTAGGACGAATGGCATTACGTATTCGAATGGGGTCGGGGGAGGCAGGATGGCCGCCACGAGTGCTGCGAACGCGGCTTTTCCTCGGAGTCCGCTCAACTCGCCTGGCATTGAAGGGACACAGCAACCGCACGCGTCGCCTAAATTAGTGTCGACGCCTGAGCCGCCGCAGCTGCAGAAGCCAAAGGAGGGGAAGAGCAGGATAGGCGGGAAGCTGTTCTCGTCCAAGCCGAAGAACATCAAGGTGGATAATAGGTTGGATGGCAAGCACCAGGCGCTACCGTCGCCGGGCAAGATTGGCATCGGCATTCATAGCTCACAGGCGCTGAATCGCATGATGATGGCGGGGTCGACGGCGAGCTTGGTCGATTCGGCGACAAATAGCAGTAATGCTTCCCTGTACTCTTCTGCCAACGCGTCGACATCCACGCTAGTACCTCCACGGAATGATTCTCTACCCGAGAGGAAAGAGGAGAAGCATAAACACCACTTCTTGTCACGACAGAAGAACAAGTTGAAAGACCAGGATGGCTTCGCACTGCCATTGTCGTCTGCGAGCAGTAATTCCAAGCCTACAAACCCTAGCGCACCAGAGCCGCTGTATTCCTTCGCCGCGCCTTCATCGCCAGGGCATTCAAGTAGTTTTGCAAATTCAGTAACCGGTCTGGATCTCCGGCATGGAGGACGCCATCTCCGACGAGCGAAGAAGGAAGAGAAGGCCGCCGCATTTCTAGACGCGCAACTCGAACCCCCATATCGAGAGCGGAACCAGTCGTTTAGCACCGAGCGATCAGAATGGCCGTCTCTAGCCAGCAGCATAACCACAACCCCCAACATGAGCACGCCCAGCCAAAATATCTCTCACACAACAGAGATGCTTCACCTGGGCAGCTCCTTCGGCATCAACGGCCTCTCGCCCGACGACGCCTGGCCACTCTTAAAAGCACGAGTACTTTTAATATTCGAAGGAGAAGACCCGCGACCCCCCGTCGAAGATTTCAACGCCCTAGTAACCGTGCACATAAAACGCTGCATCCACAAACGGTCCCCCATAATCCTCATCGAAGACCTAAACGAACTCCTCCAAACCGGCTTCGGCTCTCTCGACCAAACCCTCCGCCACGTCCCCGACGACCGCCTCATCCCACACCTGGTAGAAATGTGGCTCGTAGTCTTCACCACCATCCTCCCCTTCCTGCAAGCCGTCTTCCTCCCCCTCGACCTCGAGTTCAGAGGCAGCGGCATCATGACGAGTGCCCAGGCAGGCGAGTTCTGGGGCGTCATGTTGCCTGACGAGATGAATACCAAGAGTCCGGAACATAGGAATATACCTATACTTGGGGAGCTGGAGGTTAGGAGGATTACGCTGCTTATGTTTAGGGATATTGTTATTCTGCCGAGGTATGAAGCGCTTATGGCGATTTTCTCGCGGCTTAGTCTGGAGAATCTTAATGCGGGGTTGGAGAGTCCGAGTCCGATTCCGGATCATAGGCCGGGGACTGCGGGGAGTGGGTTTGGGGGCGCGGGGGAGAGACAGAGTGGAGGGGGGGAGATGGGGAGTCTGAATTCGACGAGTACGTCGAGTGCGGGCTATCTGGAGAGTACGACGAGTATGACGAGTTCGACATTCGCAAACAGCACACGCTCACGCGCAACATCGAACACATCCGCTGGCTCCTTCTCCTTAAACCCATCCTCCCACCCGCCTCCCCACTACCACCCCCAATCACTCAACCACCCTACCTCCTCCTCAAACGCCCAACACGCCCTCCACCCAACGATCTCCCACCTCCACCCACCCCCAACATCCCACGGCAACTTCACATCCAACGCCCCCTCCTCCCTCCGCCAAACCCCCATGGACAGCACCAAAGTCACCGAAACAGTCGGCCGCATGCTGCAATGCGTGTCCGTACTCGTCTCTCTACAGTCTAGCGATGATGCGCAGGAGAAAATTGGGCGCCTGAATAAGGAGTTGAAGTATAATTGGTTGGGGAGGGGGAGGACGGGGAGGCAGAGACAGGGGTTTGTGGGGCCGAGGGGGGGGACGAGGACGGGGTTGGGGATGGGTGTTGGGATGGGGAATGTTGCGGGAGGGGGTGTGAGTGTGGCTGGGGTGGGTGCGTAGGCGGAGGGGAGGATGGAAAAGGTTGGATAGGTGGTGTTGTATGTGTACGTTTTGTGTCTTGTTCTTTCTTGTGTTTGGGGGATACGTCTGCGGGTTGCGTGTGTATACCGCGCCGGCGTTGTTGTCTTTTACCTTGTTTGTTCTTCTTTCTGGGGTTGTAGGATGTGAGATGTAGGATTGCGAGATGTGTACGACATTACCTGTTCGACGAAACTCAATGCAGATGAGAATAAGTGAGAATACTGTTTCTACTTGATATGATACTCATGCGTCAATCCATTTCTACCAGGACGTTCTCTCTACCAAGGCAACTCCTCTGGGTGGGTGGGGGAGGCGGAGGGGAGGCGGAGGGGAGGCGGAGGGGTGGAGGAGGGGTGGAGGGGGAAGTCATCAGCAGTAGAAGAAGCAGCTTCTTTAGCCAGCCTCAACAACAGCGACCGAGAGAAAGATGGACAAAAAAGACCTAGCTATGATCAAACGCCACCCCCCAAATCCGTTCTTACCAAGGCAACTCCTCCCCACTCCTATGGAAAAACTTCCCCGTACTCTCAATCCCCTTCCCTTTCAACACATCCCACAGCCCCCTCGCCGCTTCATCCGGTTCCACTGCCCCTTCTACCTCCACTCCCTCCTTATGTCGCGGATCCAACCCCGTTTTCACGATACCTGGATGTAGCACCAACACCACCACACCCTCATCTCTCAAATCCACACTCAAACTCTTGAACAAACTATTCACCCCCGCTTTACTCGCGCGATACGCGTACTGGCCTCCCGACGTGTTATCCGCCATGCTACCCACACGACTCGACACCACTGCAATCTTCGGGGAAGACGCCTTGAGTATATTGGGCAAGAGCGCTTGCGTCAGGAGCAGCGGGCCGAAAGTGTTCACCGCAAACGTCTTCTGCAGTCCATCCAAATCAACCGTGCGGAGCGCATCGTCCTCAGGTCTTTCCATGACACCAGCGACGTGGAGGAGGAGGTCAATCGGTGTGTCTGCGCCGATGCACTGGGCAAAAGACTGGATTGACAAAAGCGAGGAAACGTCGAGCTGGTGGGTTTCGCAGGGAAGCGAGGTTAGGGCGGGACCGAGGGTTTGGTCTGTTGCTAGTACGGTGTAGCCCTGGATGAGGTTTGTTAGGCTGTTGAAGGGAGAGGGGGAATGGAGATGGGGGTTTTGCTGACTTCGTTGATGAGGATTTTGGCGAGGGCGTGGCCGACGCCGGAGTTTGCGCCTGTTATGAGGGCTGTTGGCATGGTGGTTGTGATGGCAATTTTGGTGTTAGTCTGGTTGAAACTCTAGTTTAGGGAGGATGGAAGGATCTAGCGAAATCGGATATTGTTCGCTATCTAGATTTCTACGTCGAGATGATGGACGTTGTTATACATGTAGAATATGGCCTATGACGTTGATGACGTCTATCTTACAACGCAGCGATCTTGTCGTTACTACTGTATCTAGTGACCGTGAGATGAGTGTGCTAGGTGCTTCATTCGTGACATGCAAGATCACAACAATTTCAAGGCCAAGTAAAGTGGATGAATCTGTTTTGAATGGCTCGTGGTAGTCTCAATGGCCGCGCGATACCGAATCTAGCTAGTCCACACTCCAGTGTCCAGCAGCGGGGATCTTGCGACCTACCCAACAGCCCAACGCAAAAGAACCACCACTCAATGCGCAAACCGAAAGTCCAACCGCCTATTCCCCTCATCCTCCGTAGTCTCCAAATACATCTCCTTCTCCTCCCTTGTCATACCCTCCCAAACCCCATCCCTCTTCCTATTAACATTCACATAATACACCTTCGCCCCAACAAACAGCACAAAATTATACGCACAAATCGCAAGTAGGACCTTATTCCCCCTCCGATAAAGCGGCTTATCGTCGTCTCGATAAATATTCTGACTGATAATACTACTCGCCTGGACACACATATTGTACAGCGCACTCGCCACCGTGCGCGTGCGCACTGCACCAGCGTTGCGCGATGTGATGGCGACGAGGATAGCGTGGATATATGGGTGTCCGACGAGGAGGGTTGAGAGGACCCAGCGTGACCAGGGCGACGCGGTTGCAGGGAGGAGTTCCAGCGCGATGAGTAGGGGTAAGGCCCAGATCTGCGATATCAGGCCGACGACGAAGCGTTGGTTGAAGCGCTCGGATATGTAGGTCCAGAAGAGGAGTTGTAGGATGAAGAGGACGTATGCGGGGATCTGGGGTGTGTTAGTCGTAGTAAGGAGATGGGGAGATGGGAAGGGGGTGCTGACGGTGAGGAGATTGGTTTCGAAGGTGCCGAAGCCGAGGGAGCGGAGTTGGAGCGTGAGATATGCTGTTGAAGGTGTGGTTGGTATTGTCCATGATAAGCCGAGTAGGTAGATTGGCCACATGTGATAGTCCCTGAGACAGTCCCACAGCATGCGGAAGCTTAGACCTTGTCTGTTGTGCATGTCGCCTTTGCTAGGGTCATCCCTCAGTATGCGGTTGACCATGATCTTCTCTTCTCTCTCATTGAACCATCCGTCTTTTCCACGGAACGGATTCCACGCCTTACTCGCAGTCTGTGTCGGACTGGGTGGCAAGTAAAACCAAGATGCAATACCGATGCAGCCTGTCAACATACCCTCGAGAGCGAATAGCCAACGCCATCCCTCCATGCCATTGTGTCCGCGCAGACGCAAGATCCCAAAGGCGAAGAAGGCAGAGACAATCTGAGTAGACTGGTAGCTCACCCAGAACCAACTCAACCGCCCAGGTAACTCCCACCCAGTGTAGAAGTAACTCAGGTAAAGAATATTATCAGGAATAAACCCACCCTCAATCAACCCCAGCAGCGCGCGGCAAGCAAAGAACGAACTACGTCCACTCAGGAAAGCTTGAAAGCTGGCCACGAGACTCCAGCTGACCATCTGAACGGGAATCCAGTTATCGGGTCCAAGCTTCTTGCTGATGAGTTGCGAGGGTAGTTCAGCGCATAGGAAGCAGAGGTAGAAGATGGTCTGCCCGTAGTTGTAGTCGTTGGTGTTCATGCCGAGGTCGTCGAGCATGTTGTCGCTCAGGGCTTGCGATATGTTGCCTCGGTCGAGTTGGAGGGCGAAGAACATTAGGCAGGCCCAGGTGCAAATGCGCTTGTCGATCTGGGGGTAGGTCAGCGTGGGCTTCGTTGATCCTTGAAGAATGATATTGTTTACCTTGCGCACGAGACGCTTTTCTTCCGGCTTGTCCCAGACGAAGTCCGGATCGTATCGATGGATGCCTTCGTAGGAATCGACGGGCCTGTTTCGGTCTTTTCCGATGTCTGAAGATATGAAGGTCGTGCCATATCTTGTTTTGGTACCGGATGTGCTGGCTGCCGTGTCGCTGTTGTTGTCGCTTTCCGCAGTGTCGAGAATCACTTTGCTATCGACGGGGTAGTCGTCAGCAGTATCATTGGCGACCATCTTGAAACTTGAGCTGCTCTTCAAGGTCAATGAAGTACTCTCATATTGAGAATGCTATGAGGATGCGCTCTCATTATATCTGTAGGCCCTCTCTCGCTCGTTGACCCACGCGATAACCATCCCATGCGCAGAGCTTCTGGACGTGCATCGTTCAGAGGAACAGTTTCGCAATTTTGCTAGCGTTGCAACGCACAATGACCGTGTATCCACCGAGTGTCAATGCATCTTCGCCATCTTTGCGCCTCTCGGTTACACTTGGATTCCGATACTGGCCGCGGAACTGACAGCGGCAATCGTGCCGCCAAATCTAACGAGCACGCAAACAGTGGATATTATTTCGCAGCGGGGTCGAGCGGTTCTGTGCAGCATATCTGGAGTTGATTCGTCATAGCTTCTTTCGATGATGGATTGCGTGATTGGCTGGGGTGTTGGCGACATAGATATGGAACACCATATCCGCCGCTACTGCAACGGTGCGTTCGGAGATAACACTGACGCCAGAGTCTTGGTATATTCGACATCGCGTGGGATGGTTCGGTTGCAAGAAGCCTTGCACAGGTCGTTGGTCTTTGCTACTCGCGGTTAGTCTGGTGTAGGAAGAAAGTATGAAGCAATACAGTGCATGCTTGATGCAATATGATCGCACGCTGATTGATCGGGGTATATCGCGGCAGTGAACCTCACTGGATCGCCAAGATAGATTACTTGACTGCGACATCCGATGATTGTGGCAACTTGGTGTTGAGTTCGCAAGAGCGGGGTTGCGCGTAGCCAATGTCGAGTCGCAATGAAGCATTGCTACTCACATTTATGGTGCGATTCGTACATATAAGGTCGCCTCATAGGTGATGTGATAGACTTCCAAATTGACGCTCCTCACCATCACCCTAAGTGATATCGTTGGATACCAACATGGCTCCCGCACTCATCGAAGAGGTCACCGAACAGACTACTGTCGGCTACAAGTCTGGAGTTGGTCAGTACAAAGAAGCTGCCTTTGGTGGCCCGAAGGTCTTCCAAAAGGAACTCGAGCTGCGCGGGACTGATAAGCATGCACCTGCCAAGTATCCGCACTACCTCCCGACTTGGGACAATGAGAAGGGCAGAAAGTGAGTATCGACATACCGTCAATGGTGCCGGAGACTAATCAGCGGCTCAGGTACCCACCATGGGAGCCATTCGAGCACACTGAACACGGAAAAGATGCCGACCCTTCGTTCCCTAACCTCTTGGCGAACGCGACTGTCGCCGACATTACAGCAAACATCGGCGCTGAAGTCCATGGTATCCAGCTAAGCAAGCTGACGGATGCCGGAAAAGATGAACTCGCACTGTTCGTCGCCCAGAAAAAGGTCGTAGCGTTCCGCGATCAGGACTTCGCAGACATCCCAATCAAAGACGCACTCGCTTTCGGTGGATACTTCGGTCGACACCATATCCATCCTACATCAGGTGCTCCTGAGGGCTATCCTCAGGTCCATCTCGTCCACCGAGGTACCGACGACACCACGGCGCGAGACTTCTTTGAAGAGCGGACGAACTCGATTACCTGGCATTCAGATGTGACGTATGAAAAGCAGCCACCCGGTACTACATTCCTGTATGTCCTTGATGGGCCAGCGGCGGGGGGTGATACTTTGTTCGCAAACCAAGCAGTAGCGTATAACAGACTCTCGCCAGAGTTCAGGAAGCGACTACACGGCTTGAAAGTCGTTCACTCAGGTAAGCCTCGACACCGAACAACAAGACATGTGAAGTGTTAACACCATCTCAGCCGTCGAGCAAGCCGACAACAGCAAGAACCGCGGCGGCATCGTGCGTCGCGACCCAGTAACCTCAATCCACCCGCTCGTGCGGACACATCCTGCGACAGGCGAGAAAGCGCTCTTCGTGAACCCGCAGTTCAGCCGACGCATCGTAGGCTTCAAGAAAGAGGAGTCGGACTTCTTACTCAACTTCCTGTACGATCATATCGCGAAAGGACAGGACTTCCAGGCACGCGTCAAGTGGGCGCCGGGTACGGTTGTGGTTTGGGATAATCGCGTTACGGCGCACAGTGCGTTGCTCGACTGGGATGATGGCGCGCGCAGGCATTTGGCGAGGATTACGCCGCAGGCTGAGGCGCCGTTTGAGACCGATGTGGAGGAAAAGAAGGCGGCTGGCTTTGAGTATTAGTTGAATCAGCGTAAGATGATAGATGAAGTTTTTGTTGCCCTCGAGAGTTGACATGTTGACAAAGGGCGAGGTTGGAAAAGGAAGGAGACACGCCAGATCGCATACGTCATAGTTGGCGCGGAGGAGAGCCCGCGAACGCGTACTTGCCCAGAACACCCCTATCAACGGAAAACCTAGGCCCGTACCTCTACAGAGTACAACTAAAATCAACTTTTGAAGCCTACATTACCTTTGTTTGTGAAAAACATATGTCTGGAAACCAAGGTAGGCTGCAATGCACCTGTCCAATTTCTCCCTTCAATAGGGCGAGAACATCATGAAGCTGTTAGGATAGAGAGAATATTATAAAATAAGCACAGCGATATATATTGGAATAGAGAATGAGATCGTATAACAAAGCCATAAATGAGAAAGATGCTGGCTCCGCATGACGCCGAAGCTTCACTCCAGGGTCGCTTTCGCGCATCCATAGCGCCAGTACGCCTTTTCCGATATCCACCCATCAAGCCCAGTAGCTCGAGTCAGAGCTCTGACTCTTCCGCTTCATGTCCAAGACTTCTCATAAGTAAACCTTCCTGGCATAGAAAACCAACGTCTGCCCTGACCACCATGCTGTTCTCAGGATCCATGTCTTCATCCGCGCT